AAGCTGTATCGTTTAGTTCTCTACCACTGCTCGTAGCTTTTTTAGATCACCACGTCGCCTTGACTTTTGTTCTCAGCGGTAATGATAGATTTTGATTTTGTACTTGGGGGGTTAGCTAACTATGGCTTTGCGTAGTAGAGGGGCACGCCAGTAAGCGTGGGACACTGGTCCTGATGACCACTATGGCCGCAAGAGTGCGAATATGCATAAGTAGTGTCAGCACGATACAGTGATAGCAAGGACGCTACTGCGATGTAGTAGTAGTAGCATTATACAGCCAGCGACGTAGACTCCGCCTCGCCTCAAAGGAGTTCGCCAGCAGCGAAGCGGGCGACTGTGTCTATGGTTGTTTCTCGCTTCTTGCCTTCGCATCGGTTTCGCGCTTCGATGGTTTATGGTGGCTTTTTAGGTCCTCGCGTCACCTATCGCCTTTCAGTCTCGTCTTTTCCGGTACCCCCGACGAGCTCCGTTGCGTTCGTATGCTTACGCCCCTGCAGTCGGTGGGAAGTCCGGCGGAGAGGGCTTGACGGGTGTGGAGCTTTTGGGCCGCCTTGGCGCGTGCGTTGCTGACGGAAACCGCTACCGAGGAAGCGGGCGGGAGAGGTGCGGCAGCGCTGCTTGGGGTCTGGTCATAGTGCCCTGTCCTCGGCGGTTCGTGCGCATCCTCCGCCGCTTTCTGGCTTTTTGTGGTCGTCTGCTATAAAAATAGATGGGTAGACTCCGTTCTTAACTCATAAATACCTCCAAGCATTTTGCCGCCCCCTTGCGTGTGGATGAAGAGGGCGGAAGCCGAGGGTGAGACACGTCGCTCCCCCATGCATGATCGGAGACGCATGAGAGGGAGGCGGGGGTAGAGGGTGCGACGAGCTTCGGGGGATTGGGCGAGGCATGTAAGAGCAACGAAGGTGGCTTTTCTCTTTCTTTGATAAACTAGTATACTCCGCTGTCTTTCTAGGGGATATCCCTTTCAGGGCGCCTTGATTATGGAGGGACTTGCCCGGCGGGTGCCTTCTGTCCCCCATCGCCCGTGCATGAAGGTGCCCACTTTCAGCCTGTTTGCATTTTCTCGCATTCTGTTTCCTTGGCCTTACCTCTCAAGCGGGTGCAACTTAGTATGTCGGATGCTTAACCAGGTCCCTCTGCATAAACTCCCTTTTGATCTTTGGCTCAGATTAATACTGGCTTTCCGTGGGCACGGTTGTGTAAGTAGTCTTCCAGTAACTAAACAAGCGCCGGCCGCTAGAAACTTCACGGACGTTATTTAATTGCACTGGGGGGCGGGGGCGTAGGATGGAGGATAGGGAGTCGAAGTAGCGCAGGGACAGCGGCTTAAGTATGCACATACATTTCAAAAATCCTACTCACCTTCAGAAATGAACTAAACCGGGACGCGGCTGAGCTCGGTGCCTTGGAGCGGCTCGAAACAGCCAAGCAAAAGTTCAGGGAGGAGAAAACGCGCACCCTGCAGGCCTCTCCTTCTGATTTCATGACGGGGGCGAAGCGTATGTCTCCTCATATTCATATTTATTAATTTGTATCTCTTTGACTTTGGGTTTTCTTGTGCTGCGTCGTTGGTCATGGCGTTGGAACTATTTTGCCTCAGTCACGTGCCAGCGCTCAGCAAGGGGTCAAAGGGGTGGCCCAGAGAGTGTGAAAATTCCCCGGCCACTCTTCGGTCTTCTCACTCTGGTCGGTGTGGGTGTCAGCTTTTGGCATAGTTGTCACCCGGTGCTGATGGATGTTGCTTGCAATTGACTTCCTGCGCCTCTGCTATATTGTTGCCCGAGTTCAGTCCTTGCTCTGCACTCTTTCTCTCTTCGGACATCTTCTCTTCCTTTCCTTCCTTGTCTTCGCATTCCCTTGCCCGCGCGGCCTTCAGGCAGTGTCTTTGCTTTGCGCCATCGACTGTTTTTCCATCCATGATTCGGGGCTCCTTGCTAGTCTTCGCGTGGTATTTGGTATCGTATTGTTTCTAGGCCTGCTCCTGCTACGTTCCACCACACAGCGGCGTGGCTTGGGTAATTTACTGCTGGGTAGGCAAGTGCCAGCCGCGCTACGCAAACCGGTGAAAAGTAACCCAGCGGCCCCGTTTGGGTCTATCTCTGTTGGCGTGTCAATGGGGGTGCGCGGTGCTTGTGAATGGTCGCCCTCGTGCAGCTGGGTCCAGAGCAAATGCTTTTCAAAAAGACCATATTCACGGCGCGCACGCAGCTCAAGCCAGTTGTGATTGTCCGTCGGCTTCCGGACACTAGGATCATTTTTTCGCCCGCATATCTGTTGTTCTGGCGGCCTTTTTTTTCTCAAGCAAGGGGCGTGCGCGTGCCTTACTTACAGGAGCCACGACGTGAACGTTTTAGAGTTTTACTTTTGTTACGCGTCTCGGCTGCTGGCGTCGCGCCTCTGCCTGGCCTTGAGAACAGCAAAGGGCAAAGTTGCAGCCCTGCTTTAGAAATAGTCCGCAAAGCCTGATTGGCTTATTAGTCGTTTTTTAGCGGGATGAATTCTCCGGAGGGACGAAAGGGACGAGGGGGAGGACACCGCGGAAAAGATGGTTGTGTGTCAGCGCGCAATAGATGCTTCTTCGAAACGCGCGCCATGTGCCATTCCATGTGACCCCGACCCATCATCCAGGTAGCGAGGCTCTGACGAAGGAAATGCAGAAGCGCAAAAGTGACCTGATGCGGGAGGAAGTGAAGTTATGGCACAGGCACTGGCCGTCCCCGGTGAGGGTGACGGGGGGTCCTATAGTATACATGACTCTAGATGGGGCAAAATTAAAGGGAGTTATGTACACAGTGGGGCAGGGATATCGGGAAGCAAATAGTTGGAAATGCAGGCGAGACTGGAGGGTGCACTCCGTCTGCGTGCGTGCAATCCGCCCGATATAAAGCTACTGCCGTGGCTACAATCGTTGCTCAGCACACACTATCACCTACTCCGTATCATTATCTTAGTTCCCCAAGCAGTTTTTTGCGAATGCGTCCTTGTCTTTCAGTAGTCTACGTGACTTGCGTCTTAGCGTCTAGTGCTTTTTATTGTGGTCTGCTGTTTCTATGTAATATTTTTTGAGGTCTTGCTTCTGTCTTTGTCTGCCAGTGTTCCACACTAAGAATAAGGCTGTCGCCTACAGGTTCTCCTCGTCTGTAATTTCGTGGTTCTGTGTTACTCTCCTTTCTTGCGCGTGCATGTGTTGAGGCTTGAGACTGGCTTGAGGGAATTCTTTCTGTAAATGATGCTTCTGGGAGCGCAGCAAATAGTAAGAGAATGATGATCCAAAATTTGATAAAGTGACTATTCTCATATAGACACTTTTGGAACTTTCTTATTAGTCTGATTCGTATTGTTCTTCTGTAACTAACCTCCTCCCATAGCAGGTCTTTAATTCCCCTTTGTTTTCTTTTCGAGGTGTGCTGCAAATCTTGATTGGCTTTCGCCCTTTGGTGAAGGTTTAGGCCCTGCGGCGCTCAAAGCACTAAGTAAGACAACCGGTTAGTTTTCACCTCGACTAAATTAGGTTTATCCCGAGCAACAATATATTTTTGAGTGCAGGTAGACTCGATATCCACCAGGCAGAGAGTGTCTGTGCGGGCCGGGTCCCGGCTCCCCCATAAATATAGAACTGACTCAAAGAAAGTAAGTAATATAGTTACACATTCCTCCTTTCTTGTCCTTGCCTCTTTTCGTGTGTTGTTCGTTGTTCGCCTTACTTTCGTAGTCTCTTCTTCTTTCTTGCTCCACGAACATCCGGATCATGCGCGACAGCTTCTTGTGGCAAGACAGCAAACGACTGCGAAGCAAGTCTGGGTTATCTAGCGAGCGCTGCGCGAAACGTGGAATCCCATGCTTTTCTTTCTTGCTTCTGTCTTTGTCTGCCAGTGTTCCACACTAAGAATAAGGCTGTCGCCTACAGGTTCTCCTCGTCTGTAATTTCGTGGTTCTGTGTTACTCTCCTTTCTTGCGCGTGCATGTGTTGAGGCTTGAGACTGGCTTGAGGGAATTCTTTCTGTAAATGATGCTTCTGGGAGCGCAGCAAATAGTAAGAGAATGATGATCCAAAATTTGATAAAGTGACTATTCTCATATAGACACTTTTGGAACTTTCTTATTAGTCTGATTCGTATTGTTCTTCTGTAACTAACCTCCTCCCATAGCAGGTCTTTAATTCCCCTTTGTTTTCTTTTCGAGGTGTGCTGCAAATCTTGATTGGCTTTCGCCCTTTGGTGAAGGTTTAGGCCCTGCGGCGCTCAAAGCACTAAGTAAGACAACCGGTTAGTTTTCACCTCGACTAAATTAGGTTTATCCCGAGCAACAATATATTTTTGAGTGCAGGTAGACTCGATATCCACCAGGCAGAGAGTGTCTGTGCGGGCCGGGTCCCGGCTCCCCCATAAATATAGAACTGACTCAAAGAAAGTAAGTAATATAGTTACACATTCCTCCTTTCTTGTCCTTGCCTCTTTTCGTGTGTTGTTCGTTGTTCGCCTTACTTTCGTAGTCTCTTCTTCTTTCTTGCTCCACGAACATCCGGATCATGCGCGACAGCTTCTTGTGGCAAGACAGCAAACGACTGCGAAGCAAGTCTGGGTTATCTAGCGAGCGCTGCGCGAAACGTGGAATCCCATGCTTTTCTTTCTTGCTTCTGTCTTTGTCTGCCAGTGTTCCACACTAAGAATAAGGCTGTCGCCTACAGGTTCTCCTCGTCTGTAATTTCGTGGTTCTGTGTTACTCTCCTTTCTTGCGCGTGCATGTGTTGAGGCTTGAGACTGGCTTGAGGGAATTCTTTCTGTAAATGATGCTTCTGGGAGCGCAGCAAATAGTAAGAGAATGATGATCCAAAATTTGATAAAGTGACTATTCTCATATAGACACTTTTGGAACTTTCTTATTAGTCTGATTCGTATTGTTCTTCTGTAACTAACCTCCTCCCATAGCAGGTCTTTAATTCCCCTTTGTTTTCTTTTCGAGGTGTGCTGCAAATCTTGATTGGCTTTCGCCCTTTGGTGAAGGTTTAGGCCCTGCGGCGCTCAAAGCACTAAGTAAGACAACCGGTTAGTTTTCACCTCGACTAAATTAGGTTTATCCCGAGCAACAATATGTAATATTTTTTGAGGTTTTTTGATTCGTTTTCGTGCTCTAAAGTTTAGGCTTATCGAAGAGGAAAAGGAGACATCGAAGAAACTGAGAGAGATTCGACAGCACCGGTCCGAGCTGACAACCGCTGTCGCCGCAAGAGAGGAGGCCCTTCGGCCGAAAAAGATGCAGCCGCTTTATGTTGAAGGCGTGTGAAGTGAAGTCGTTGCATTTCTAGTATTGACGTATCACTTATAGAATAGCTTAAGGATATCCGCCACCGAGTTTTGTATTGGTTTTGTTTTACAAACAGGCTGGCCGCTTCTCAACTGGACGAAGCAACTGCGCGACAGGCGGTTCTCTTTTGATGAGTATACTTCAGAAATAGTTTCGTCAGCGTTGTCACCTCACTACCCCCGAGTAGAATTACCCTCGCCTTCTCTCTCTCCCTCCACGCATCAAGTAGCACTAGTATAGACATGCACTATAATGGAGAAAATTCAGCCAAGGACCGCAAGCATCCGGGCCAAGTTCCATCTTGCCAGGCATGACGCGAATCCGCAGAACACTCGCCGCCTACTGCGCTCCTTCCGGTAAAACCTTCCCCCAATTGCGAGCCAAGAACCTCGGGCGCACTCCAAATCCCCACGCCCCTCCAGAATCCCCAAGCACACACTTGCAGGCTGATGCGCTGGGCTCTGGAGGGGCGCGGGGAATCACATGAACAAACGAAACAAAAAGACAGAAAAACCAAGGGGGGGCAAGTTATGAAAGTCTTCGCGCGGTTCTTAGTTGGCTTAGCTCCATCCTAGTCAGCCCCTTGGCTTGCGGAAGCGCCAGGAGCGCCAGGCGCTTGGCTCCTCTGAGAAAGCTCGCAAGGGTGTCATCGATGGCCGCCCTCTCTTTCGGTGACGTATTTCCTGCCACAAAGCTCGCAACAAAGGAGCAAAAACCAACACCAAAAGCCTCAGCCTTAAGCTAATTCAGGTGACTGCCTGAAGATATAGCAAAGAACTACCGCCAGAAACCTTAAAGAAGACCACTGAACAAGCACAGAAATGATATGAAGCGGACCAACCTGATCCCCAGAGAAATGGGCACGAGAATGAAGCGGGCGCCTCTATTTTGTAGCACAGGCCTCCCTGCTGAGGTGCTATGTATCCTGCAGAAAAAGCCAGACGATTTCGCTTTCGTTTTTTGTCAAGAATGCGACTACGGCGCGGAATCCGGCACACCATAGAGGGGCTCACTCAATTCAAGGAGCCACCCCCCAGGCTCCTCCTTTGCTTTTAGGACTATAATAACCACCAACAACAGCGCGGGGGCCTTCCCTCTCTCTTCGGTGGTTGGCATGCCTCCCCGGCGTTGAGGCGGCGCGCGGTGTCTAATATGTGTGCACTCAAGTGCGCCGCTTCATGGCTTGAACAATGAAAACCAGGGGAACACCAGAGAACGAATGCCAGTCGCCCCTTATGGTGATAAGCCTCACCAAATTGGTCCAACCTTGCTGGCCACGCCAGTGGGGCGTCTTGCCTGGGCGCTCTAATACATAGCGTGGCGCCATGGCCATCTTACCTCCCTAACGTCTTCGCGGCTTAACTTTACTCAGACCCCCCGTCAAGCCCAGGCGCGTCAGCATGGTCTGCCTCGCCCTCAGAGGTGTCGCCATCTAGAAATAACCCATCGACCACACAGGGCAAAACCTTGCGTGGTGTGACCCTCTTCCCCTCTATAAATATACAACGACCTCCATAGCGAGCGAACGCGTGGGGCGTTTCTTAGGCTCTGCACGGGGGTCCAAGGCTAAGCCAAGCCCAGGCCAACCTGCTGCAAGCTGCTGCAGAGGTGTGCCTGGTTCATAGCATTGCGGGACCATCTCGGCGCGCGATGTAAACGAGCCGGCAACAGGCTTCCCATTTTTTTTCGCGAAGTAGTTAACAGAAGCCGAAGAGCATGCCCCCAAGGAAGAACCAGGCGCATCCCCTAGCAATGCCCCGGCCAACCCTAAACACCGGGGCCCGCGGGCTGTATCGCGGTAAAATGAAACTGAGCCCACACCCGGGCAGAGTTTCCAAACCTTCTGCAAAGCCGTGCCCAAATATAAGCGGCAGCGCGGTGCGCCCCCTTTCCGCGTGCCTTTATTTTGCGGCGAAAATTATTCACGGGGGCGCCCGCCACCGCCTTGCTGAAAAAAGTGGCAGCGCTGTGAGGTTCGTGGGCAGGTCTTACTTCGGCGGAACGGTTCCGCGCTGGTTCCTCGGTCGGAAGTCGGCTGGGTCCATCGATCCCACCGGCCGCGAAGTCAAAAATGGCGGGCCACGACGTTCCTTCGTGAGGCTGGAAGAGGCGGCAGCAGCATCGGGCCCCTCCCGTATTCGCGCCGGCCGCGAGTGCTTAATGCTCTCCCAAAGCTTGGAAGGGGTAGGCTTCGGTGCTGCGGTGGCACTTTCTTGGGCTTTTTGCATGCCGTAGCACCTTCTTGGATGAGTCGCTGCGAATCTAAACAAGAAACCACCCCAGAACTCCGAAGGGTATCCGTGCTTCGGAGGCTCCCCCTTCAGCTTCTCACAATAGTCTTAGAAGGAACCACCTCGAGGAAGACGGGCGCGCGATTCGTTTCCTATTCGTTCCCGAAATCGTTCAGATTTTTGACCTTTCAGCATTTTCCGGCAGCGTTTTGCGGGTCGTTATTTGGTCCATGGACTTCGTTCGGGAATGTGAGCGCCTTGGGCCTTTTGGTCGTGCTCACTGCAGGCATCTGGTGGCAGTTTTTCCCTGATATTTTTCCGGTTGTTGAGGTGTGCCGGGTGAAGGTCTGCAGGGGTTTACCGGTGGCATCGTTGCCCTTTGGTCGATCGGGTTTTCGTTTTTGTGTTTTATCTCTTGGTCTGGTTGGTGTGGTTTCCTTCGTGTTCGTCTTGATGTTTTGTCTAGGTGGTCCTCTTGTGCATGGGTTGGGGTGGTTGTGTGTTCTCTGGTTCTTGTTGTCTGGGGCAGATCTATCAGGGGTGGGCCGCCTTCCTTCTATCTTCGACGTCATCGCGTGTGTGTGATGGGGGGCAAGCGCAAGGGCGTCGCCGGAAAATGATGGCCATGGGTTGCAGCGTGACCCTGGTTGGTTGCCTTGCTTCACCCGTAGGTAGCGGCAACGACGCGCCCGCCACGGCCTCACACATGACACCACCGAAGACCCTCGGCCACGGGCCCCCCCTTTAGATAAAGACTAACACAACAAACAAGAGGAGCCCCCTGGCTTTTCCCCCTTTGTTAACCTTCCCCACCCTGTGTGCAAATGCAATCTATCACCGCAGGGCTTGCGTTCTTGGTTTTTCTGCCTTTCCTCCTGTGGTTTTCCTTCCGGTTGTTTTCTGCTCGTTCACGGGCCCCGCCTTGCGTGGTGGTGTTTGTCGGGTCTACTGTCGCACGGCAACCGAAGGAGACGGAAACGAGTAAGCCCACCGAAGGTTGGGCACGGTTTTCATGCATGGCATGGGGCCCCTCCGTCTTGGGACATGTCCAACCAAGTCGCGAAGTGGGGACATGGTTGCGTGGGGGGTCACTGCTTCCATCCCATGCGCAGCCACGCAGATGAGCCTCCGCGGGTGTGGGTTCTATCTTGAGTGTTGGGCCAGGCGATGCCTGACCGAAGAGGGACAACGCGCGCAACCCCTACCCCAGCAGCCGTCTCCCCCTTGTGCCCATGGTTCTTGCCTGGTGTGGTGGGGTTCCATAGACTTGTCGACACCTGCGAGGCCAGCCGGCTGGGCACCTATTAGGGGGGAGCGTGCTCCAATCCGCGCACCACTTGAGCCGAACAAGACGCGAAGGCCCCCGAGGTTTCATCCGGTTGCGGAATTCGATGGGGCTAAAAAAAAACCAAAAAAAAACCAAAAAAAATCGATTTTTTCTTATCCTGCTAAGGATTTCCCGTCTTTGCATTTTTCTCCAAAAAAACGCACCAAACCCACTCCGTAGACCGATCGGAAAAGCCAAAAACGCTAAAAAATTTTTTAACGTTTTTTGTGTTTCTGTAAGCGGTCCAAAGTGCCACTTTTTGGCGCCATCGCTCCCCGATTTTGGCGACGTTTTTGTGCTCTGTGTCATGCAGGTTTGGAGACTCCGGGACCCACAAAAAAGTGGGTCCCGGAAATTCCTTTCAAAATTCGTTTCAAAATCGTTTCAAATTCGTTCGAAATTCATTTCAAAAGGGCCAGAAAAGCCGCGGAAACCAGTACGGTTCCGCGGTCTTTTCTGGCCCGTTTGAAATGAATCTCGAACGAATTTGAAATCATTTTCTTGACGAAAAAATCGCAAAAAAATTCCAAAAAAATTCCAAAAAGAAAAACCTCGCACGACCTCGAGGCAACCAACCCCCCCCCACATTGAGCCCAAAAAGAACCCCAAAATTGGGGAAAATTGTGGCCAAAGGTCACACCGTGGACCGACTAGAAAACGGCAAAAAAGTCGAAAAAGGCGCGCAGCTTCTCCGATCTCCTTGACCGTCCTCCGATTGAATCGCACAACGCTGGCGCACCGTTTTGAAGCAAAAAGCGGAGACGCACAGTGCGCCTGCTAGTGAGGTCAATGGCCTCGGGTCCTTCATTTTTCCCCTTCAGGACTCACCCGGGCCCTAGGGTGACGCCTTGGCCCCTTCTTCATGCCCTGGCTGACCCTGCCCAAGCGACCCACATAGATACACACGCACGCCTCCGCCCCGGTTGGTGGACTGACACACAACCGACCGGCCCCTCTGATTTTCAGACGTCCCACCCCAGAACCGGCCACCAGCTACGAGGAATGAAGAACCACGAACATGCGAACCCGTCCCCGGCACCCTGTGCACCAGTCGGCAGTCCCCGACCCACCACAGCACACCCGCGAACCTGGTCCAAGTCTGGGAGCTGCTCTTACACATGCCAACCACCTGAAACAACAAACAAGCAACAGGCACCAACATGAAGGCACCCCACCACCAAACCACACCACCCAAGGGCACGCCCGCGAACTGCGCCAGAGCCGACACGCAAGAGCCTCACAGCAGCACCCCGCTGCCGAGAAGCTAGCACCCCGATACGCCTGACCCCTCGTGGGCTTGCAGAGTGCGAACAAAATGAAGAAAAAACCACAGACGAAAGCGCCAACACCTCCAGAACAACAAACTAACGAACGAGCAAGGGCCCACTGCTGAAGAAAAAAAACCACACACGGCCGGCCAA